CCTTCTGGCACCCACATGGGAAACTGACCTAGATGCAGCGATGGAGCAGCTGACATTGCTGCTCGCTCCCCCACTGGACTGCTGCTCCCCTGCCCCGGGCCCCCCTAGGGGGCTGTGAGGGGGGGAGCGAGGGCGGGGCTCCCTGCACCCAGGTCATGTTCCCTGCCTGGGCTGCGTAAGGAGAGGGCAGGAGAGCAGCAGCTCCTGATGCTGATCTCGTAGCACTGTCTCTTTAAGAACAGGTTTCAGAGTAGCAGCCGTGTTAGTCTGTATCCACAAAAAGAACAGGAGAACTTGTGGCACCTTTGAGACGAACAAATTTACACTATGATAGCGCGTCTCAATTGATTGGCCTCTTACTTGGTCTGGTTACTTCCGCCTTTTCATGTTCTCTGTATGTATAAATATCTTCTTGCTGTATGATCCAGTCTATGCATCTCTTTAAGAAAGCACTCAGGGTCGGTCAGGCACTTGAAGGCTTGTTCAGACACAAACAGCTGGACCCAGAGAGGCAGCAGCACACACAGATTCCCCCTGTCCTGTCACCCCAGCTTAGTGGAAATCGGGTGCATGAGAGCAGGACACCCCGACATCAGCCTCCTCCCACCCCGCACAGCAGAGAGGAGGTGGCTCCCAGTCCAAGTGACTGGGGGCTCCGGGGAGGAAGGAGGCGGGGGACAGGAGCAGTGCTGGCTGCACACTGCAGTAGAGCAGGGGGAAGGAGGGGCACCCCTGCTCCTGAGAAGTCCCCTCCAACTGCCCCTTGCAGCTCAGGTCCTTCTCCCCGACTCCCACCCACCCACAAGGCCGGCCCTGGGCTCATTCTCCTCCCCTCCCCGTCAGCAGCCCCATTCCCAGCACTCGGAGACGAGGATCTATACCTCGAACTCGGGTGCCGGCGATGGGGCGACAGACCGCGGGGTCGCTGCAGGGGCACGTGCCGTAGCTGGAGCCCAGCCACAGGAGGAGCGCGAGGAGAAGAGGGAGGGCAGCAGCGGGAGAGGCGCGCGCCGTGACCCCTCAACAGCCGCCTGCTGAGCAATCGCGAGTGGGGCTTGTTCGTCCCCTGCCCTGACCCGGCCAGCCCCTGCGCCTGCAGGTGGGAGATGGGGGCAGTGCGCAGAACCCCCTGGCCATCCCTAAGCCTAGGAGCTGGACATGCCGGCTGCTTCCCCAGATCC